AGGACGTTTGTCCTTCCGTTGTGCTGCCGCTTCCTCATGCTGTACATTTCATCGCTCGTCTGGCACTCTTGAGAGACATGTCATTGAAATTCTGAACTCCGTCGTCCATCGAGAACTGCGTCATCCCCGTCAGGTACAGATTGCGATTCCATGTCCGAAGTCTGGTACCCAACGGCCTCCCATACGTTGAGGTTGTTGAGGGGCAACCAGCCCAAGCTCTGATCTGATCCATCACCTAACACTTAACAGTCTACTTTTCCTCCCCGCCCTCGCCCTCGCTCTCGACAGATATCAGTCGCGTCGCCGCCTCGAACCGCTCATGTCCCCCTTTCGCTCGCCATGCTGAACCCGCGACAGCTGCTACCTATTTTGGCCATTTCGACGACTGGATTCTTTTGTTTTCTGTTCTACATTACCAACATAAAAGAAGCATGGCGAGGGCTGCCCCAAGTTATTGGGTTGGGAGACGTAATAAAAGATGAGTCTGCAGCCAATTCCAATGCAACTGCAACGGGCGCCGCGCAGACTGCAAATCCGACGCCCTCAAACAAATGGAAGTCGATTCCGCACTTTGAACACGGCACGGGGAAACCGATCGATTTCAATTTCACAAAAGTCCTGGTGATTCCGCACAAGTCCGACGAGGATGTACAATGGATCGAAGAGAACTTGCCCGAGTACCAAACCGCAATCTACGTTGTCGACAATGCGCGAGCACCGCTGCATCCACCCAAGAACAAGGGCCACGAAGTCATGGTCTACCTGAGCTGGATCATCGACAATTACGAAAAACTGCCCGACGTCGCCATGTTCATGCACGCCCACCGCTGGACCTGGCACAACAACGAGCTGCTCGACTTTGACGCAGTGGAGATTGTCAAACGGCTGAGTCCCAACAGGGTGTTGCGGGAAGGCTACGTAAATCTGCGCTGCCATTGGGACCCTGGCTGTCCCGATTGGATGCACCCGGGAGAGGTCGAGGACGACAAGTCAAAGCACGAGCAGAAACTGCTTGCCAAAGCGTGGAGCGAGCTGTTCCCGATGGATCCGATCCCAAACGTGCTCGCCCAGCCGTGTTGCTCGCAATTCGCCGTCAGTAGCGAGCGGATCCGCGCCATTCCGCTGCAACGCTTCGTATCGTACCGCGATTGGCTTCTGCGAACACCCCTTCCCGATTCTTTATCCGGGCGCATCTGGGAGTATATCTGGCAGTATGTTTTTACCGGCGAAAACGTCGTCTGTCCAAACGAGCACGTCTGCTACTGCGACGCCTACGGCGTTTGCTTCGAGACGCACGACGATTTCAGCAAGTGGAAAGAGGACAAGTACAACATGCAAGGCTACGAGTATGAGCTATGGGATTGGCACGAAAAGGAGGAGCTTGCCCACAAGGCCATGGTCAATGGAGAGTATGAGCAATTGGCACAAGAGGATCTTCCGGCACCCGGGCGAGACAAGTGGCTGGAGCAGGAGATCTACACCTACAAGCAAGACCTGATCAGAAGGCGAGATGAAGCGATCGGGAGAGGGAACGATCCCAGGAAGCGGGCAGAGGTCGCGGGCAGAGAGTGGCGAGAAGGCGATTGGTTTTGATTTGCATGATTGCCGGCAGGGCGTCAGGAATGGACATTGGGACATCTTGGGAGGAATAGTTATGATTGTAATTCGCTTATAGACGGAGGATCCTGGGGCGTTGGAAAGGCGTTGTGCTGGCAGCATTTTCCAAGCAAACGTTGCGCCAAAACCTTGAGCAAACCATGGCACATTTCCTTTGCATATTTCTTGTGGGTGGTTGGCCAGGTTCGGCCGCGGGGCAGAAAGCCAAAGCATGCCAGGGATGGGGCTCGGCGCTTGCCGAGAGGGAGGTGCAAAATATACAAACACGACACGACCTGACGGTATCATGATCCCAAATACCGCGGCCGGCTTGCGCAGCACACGACGGTAGCAAGCAGCTGTCCATGTAGCGCGCGCTGTAATGCCATTTCGACTACGTCTTTGCTCCGCTTTGCTGCTAATGCCTCCCTCAGTCTCGTCGCAGCAGCTCCACTTGCCCTTTCGGCCGCCCTGACGCGCTCAACACCTGAGGTGGCCAGAACCCAGCGCGCATCTTCACCTACGGTAGCTGGCATACATGAATTCCGCCCCGCTCACCTCCTCCTCCTCCACTGCTGCGCCCAGCGCCCCCGACAGCCTGCCCGATGGAGACGCTTCCGACACGTACTCCAAACTGCTGGAGGAGAGGATGAGGGACGTCGCACAAGAAGCCACTGCCCACGCCATGGCCCATGGCTCTTCGGACGCGTTGAAGAATGGCGTGGCCCCATCGGTGCCAGCGCAATCAGACCAGGGCAATATGGCCGAACTGCTCGAGGCCGCGGCCAAGGCGACGTCCGAGTCGCAGCGCTGGAACAATACCGCCGGCCACGGTCTGCGCAAGGTTGCGGGACACGCGAACCTGAGAGGCTCGGCCTTTGAAGAGGATGGTCACGACGCCGCGGGACTCAAGCGCAAGCGCACACCGGAAGACGCAACGAGAGATGGCCCTGAGGATGCAGAAGCCGACGACTACAGCACAGGAGCGCCTTCTCCAAGCAAGCGCACCAAGGTCGCGCCCTTTGCTCAAGTCCAACCGCACGTCAACACGCCAGCACCTCAGTCGACCATGGACATCGATACTCCTTCGCCGCAGCACAATGTCGCCGCGCAATCACCCCATATGCAGAGCCTGGGAATGACGGATGTGCGCGCCGCAGTCGGCGTCCACTCTGCTGCCGCTCTGTTTCGCCAGACCCCAACGGACTCGAGGAAGAAATACACACGACCACCCATGCACAAGCTGTTTTCGGACCTTCAGCTCACGCCGGAGAACTTTGTGCGTCTGCAGGCTTGCGCAAAGGCCTACATGTTGGACGAAAGTCACCCGGAGCGTCAGGAGTGCGTGGGCAATCGCGGCAAAGGCGATGCGGACATGGTCAAGCTACGCCTGTTCAACTGCGCTCGCGATTTTTTAAACGGGGCCGTCGGCGAGCGCTTCTTTGGACCGTATGTCCCTGCGCCAACAGAATACGACACCATCGATGGGAAGCCTGTTGCACCGGACAGGAAGTGGATTTGGCCGCGGGATGCTAACAAGATTGTCAGCCTTGTGACGCCGTTGCTGCGACGTATGGTTACGAACGAGAGGCAGAGGCAATATGCGCAGGAGACGAGAAAGGGCGGCAGCAAGAAGCAGGATACGACCTTGCGCGACAGTTCGCAAGAGGCTTCACCAGAGAAATTGGGTGCATCCATGGACGCGGTGGATCAGAGGCCGCCATCACAACCACCGCTGGACCCTTCTCTGCATTCTCACCATCAATCAAGCCTTCTGGCGCACTCTTCGCCTTACCAGTCGCCTCAGAAGCAGCACCAAACGCACCTACAGGAAAACTATCCGCAATTCTTCCAGATACCGCGGGCGAATTCTCAGGCATTCATCGTGCCGACCTCGTCCGAATCTTCATCTACCAGGCCAACATCGCCCTCGATGGCGCGCCAAACCCTCTCGCCCCGAGGCCACTCCTCGCCTCAACCATCGCCACGCATGTCCAACACCGCATCAACCCAAAAACAGCACCACCACGACGCTTCAACAACATCCGCTGCTCCCCCTACCCCTACCGCCGCAGCAGCCCCCCTACCAGCGGCCCCAGCACCGACAACGACGGCAGCGACAACATCATATCCGCCGCCACGGCCGTCCGAAAACGTCATCCAAATCCTCATCACCCGGAACAACATCAAACTTGCGCCGCGCATTGACTTGCCTAGCTTCCCAAGCACTCCGAACCACACGATGCCCCTGGCGCAGCTGCGCGGCATCATCGGCGAGGAGGTGCGAGCACTCGTCCGCAGCGGCGTCGTACAGGGACAGGGGCAAGACGTCGGCAACGATGCGGCGACAGTGCGTGTCGGGGATGCGGATGCGGCGAGAATGGGCGAGGCTGAGGCACCAGGAGGTGCTACCGTTGGCGGTGAGATCGACCACAACACCAATGGCGATGCAACAGCACCACCACAAACGCAGCAGCAACATGGCCACGCCGAAATGGCCCCTACTTCGCCTCTCAGAACATCCGCACAACACGCACCCGTCGTCCCCCCTCCGCGCTACGAACTGCGCGCCCTGACTGGCCGCGGCCTGCTGCTCGTCGAGACGGAGCGCGACTGGCAGGGCGTCCTCGCCGAGGTGGCCAACGCCGTGTGGATGGAGGGCGCGGTGAGGGTCGTCGCCGAGGTGTTGGCTGCGTAGGATAGACTCGGACGGGGAAGCAGACTTGTACTCTCGATTTCGATATTGGCGTGGCGTTTTGTGGGGGTATTTTGGGACTTGGTGTTGGAGTTTGTGTTTAGATGGATTGGTGGGTGGCGGGTATGGTGCGGATGGATGGACGGATTGGCGTATGAGGGTTGCATTTGCTTGCTATGGTATGGCGATGGACGTATGGACGAGATACCTCTTTGATTGTAGACTTGGACTGGGCATGTGCGTGTGGCACCACCACCGTATGGCGTACCTACTGAGCTTTTGTTTGAAATGAGATGCACATGAAGTCTTTCTGAAGAACTCTGGCCACGCGCGGACGCAAGTACTGGCGTGGCGGTGGCTCACTTCCTCTTGTGCTCTTGTCTCTTCTCACTTGATGGGAGTGGTGGTCTGTCTCTAGCGTATGTGTGTGTGTGCGGGCCAAGCGTTTTATTCTTTTGCGGCGGTACTCACTAGGCAGCGTGTCAAGTGACATTCTCTTGAAGGATCGCTGCTTGGGAGAGGCATGAGTTGGTGGAGTGGAAGCGGTGGTGGTAAGGCACGAGGTCGTCAGTCGAGGAAGTGTGGACAGACTCTGGGTGGTGGGCTGCTCCCCATACACGACCTCCCCCCTTAAACATGGCACCCTCACAGACCCAAACAATCATAACCCCCTTTTGCCACCTACCCGCTCCATACGCACCCCTTCGTAGCCTTTATAGCTCAGTGGTAGAGCGCGACACTAGTATACAACAGCCCCCCTTCCCTTTCCCACCCCTGGAGAAATGATTGGATCAGACGAGCTGCTGTAGGCTAGCAATGTCGAGGCCGTCGGTTCGACTCCGACTGGAGGCACATGATGTGCTGCGTGGACGACTCACTAGACGCGTCTGGTGGGAGATGTTTTTTTTTTTTTTTTTTTTTCTTCTTCTTGCGGTTCGTGGTTTGGGAGGGGGGCACGGATCGGCATGGCCCCCTGATCTTGGTGATGGCCCCCGCAGCTGGCACTGGCTCCTGGAAATGTGCAGCCAGGGATTCGTCGGTTAGGCGAGTGAAGTGGGCTGTGGTTCATGCGGTGGGGCTGGAGGTTGCCGCGCGAGAGTGGGCGAGCGTCAGAGACATGGATGGATGGATGGATGGATGGATGGATGGATGGATGGATGGATGGATGGATGGATGGTGATTTTGTGGTTGTCTTGAAGAAGTTGGGTCAGGTTGGTTGGTGGTGGTGTTTTGGTTGCGTTGCGGTCTGGTGGGGTGATGTGAGCTGGCCGGTCTTTCTTTTGCGGGGGGGGGGGGGGGGGGGGGAGGTGCTGTACTGCACTGTACTGTAGATGAGCGCAAGACAGCAGGTGGGTCTTTCATGTCTACGGCGCCGACAACCTTCTTCACATGGCGCGCCATTCTGGTCATCCAGCGCGTGCCAACCTCTCGGCTGCCGGTGAGCAGGGTGCCTTCAGTCTTTCGGACACGACTTCATTTCAAGAACAATCAAAGAGACAAGCAGATGGGTCGAGACTGACGGCTGAAAAAGCAACGAGGCGAATGAAGCGAGACGCGGCGCATCAAGACAGCCACAGCACAGCACAGCACAGCAGGCTGGACTGGACCCGTGAGCAATCAATCAGGTCAGGTATCCAACAGGCAGCGCGAGCGAGATTCGGCCAGGAACAAAGCATGAAACACATGGCTTGCGACACATGAGTAGCGAGGCACTGCGGTGCGACTCGACCGAGCGACGTGTGGTTGTTGTCGGGACGTGGTACAGTACGGCGGTGATATGGGCTTGCGGGATGGTGCGGCGGGACAAGGCAGCGTGCGTGTTTGAGGTGAATGAAGAGATGCAGTCAGTAGGCGCAAGTGTGTCTCTCAAGCTTCTCGCGGCGGCGTGGGTGGATGGTATTGGCGGCGGAAGAGGCTGAAGAGGGCGCCGTTGGCAATGAGGATAGGTTTGACGCCAAAAGTCAAACGGCAAAGCATCGAGGCCGTGGAGCAGGCGGGCCCCTTGGTGCATCCACGTGAGGGCTAGACCGCTGCATGTTGCATGGCCGGAAAAAGGAAGAAAAGGGAAAAGTGCTTCGTCGTGGCGGGGGGTATTAGCTTCCTTGGCCGTGAGATGTGATTGACCGGGTGAGAGACTGACTTGGCGTGGTGAAGAGAGAAAGAAAGAATGAAAGCCCGCGATTGGCGGTGCAGCCAAAAATATCCAATCCACCCACGCCATGGTGCCTACCTTAGCTCTGGCTCGTCCCGCCAAAGCTTCTGGCTGAGGTGGGCTGCATCTCGGCGGACTGGACTTGGACGACCGCAGCCCCAAACGGGCGTCTGGCCGGAGCCACTGATTCTACTATCGACGCCGCCATCCATCCATTCGTTGCTTGACTGAATGGATCAATGACTTTGGTCTGCTTCCGCCTCGCCTCGCTCCCCCTCGAAGCTTTCCATGTCCACCTTTTTTTGCCGCCTAATTTCAATTTCCCCCAAAGTCCAAGGCTCGTCTCCCGGGTTTCCCACCTCCCGTCGACATTAAGCATGCTGGTCTGGCTGCACGCATGGACATGAAATCATCTCTGTCGTTCTCGTCGTGCAGCCCATGTGCCCGCCGTGCAAGATGCCCATGCCAACCACCCTCCGTCATGTCGCACCATCCAACTCGCCGCCTGAGACATGATCAAATTATATCCCGCTCGCCCGCCGCTCCACCACGCCTGTCGCTGGCCACTTTTGCCCTGCTGCTGCTGCTGCTGCTGCTCCTGTCCGATTGCGCCCAAGCTGCAGCCTCGCATGAGAGACGAAGCCTGCGCTCGTGGATGAGAAGAGGAGAAATCGTCTACGACCAGAGCCATCCACCGCCCGCCGCCAAGCGGATGCCACTGTTGCATCCTCGGGACGTCCAAGATGGCGACGACTCGGCTGCGTCGTCGACCACGCCGCCCTCGACATTCCTTGCCTCGTCGGCCACTTACACGGGAGCCGTGTCGACGGCAACCCCCACGGCTCCGACGCTGCCCCAGCCTTTTGACACGAGCATCGGTTCCAACTTCACCGCCGCCTCGTGCCCGGCCTTTATCAATTCCTTTCTCGACAACTCGACCTTCACCGGCTGCGTGCCGCTGTCCCTGCTCCTCCAGGTATGCGTGCGCGCATGCAATCTTGCCATTCTCGCGCCGCCCCCGCTGACCCGTCGAGCAGACCTCGAGCTCTTTCTTCGACGACACTCGTTCCCTCGTTCGGACGACCCAAGTGCTGGACGTGGCCTGCAATGTCGATTATCAGCAATGCACCTCGCTCATGAACCATGTCGCCTCTGAACTCACCAGGGACACCAACTGCGGTGCCGACTTCAAGGCCGAGAATCCGACGGTACGACAGGCGTACAACGGCCTCGTAGCCTATGCACCGCTCTACCAGGCCGGGTGTTTAAAGGATTCGGCGGGAAGCTATTGTACGTCGCCCGCCCCGTTTAAGCAGGCGGGAGCAGTCCCGTGTCCTAACCAATCTGAAACTAGGTTTCGCCAATGCCATCACCAACTCGTCCAACCCGACTGATTCGTACCCCTACTACCTGCCCATTGCCATTACCATGCCGGGCGGCTCGCGGCTCACGTGCAACTCGTGTCTCCGAGACACGATGCATACCTTTTGGACCTACACGGGCAACAAGACGCAGCCAATCAGCGACACGTACGCGGCCGCGGCCAGCCAGGTCAACATCCAGTGTGGGCCGCATTTTGTCAACGAGTCGGTGTCTACGTCGAGCTTGGCGATGCCAGCGGCGCCGGCCACGTCAAAAGCGCTACCTTTCTTTGTGTTTGTCGTCGTCACTCTTCTAACCATATTTTTGTAAACACTTGCAACGCAGCGGCGTAGCGGGCGCCACGGTTGGCCGGCCGAGACACGAGCCGGACAGGGTGTGGAGGGTGACCGGCCTGGGATGGCCCTCACTCGCCAATATCCGGCGACATTGTTCCCGCCTTGGTGCCTGCCTTGGCTCGGACGGTCGTCTGAACGCATGCGACTCTTCAATTTCGACTCGGATCTCTTGTTCGCACTTGTACAGGTCGATTGCTCGCCCTTTTTTGAGAGAAATCTTTTCTTTGGGTACATGGTGTTTGTTTGGCAGCAGGATTGCTTTCGTCATACCCCGTTTCAGCGTCAGAGGGGCGTTTCCAGTCGGTATCAAGATGTTTTGTTTTCCCCGGTTTTTGTTTGGGGAGACATGATTGGCGTGGTGTTTCTTGGGCTGCGGGTTAATTTGGCTGCAGACGAATGGGGCAAATGCGACGAGCCGCAGCGGCGAGCGGGTCGGAGATTTCTGCAAAGAGGTAAAAAGATGATGTATCGGCGGATGCAATCAACAGAAGTCAGTGGTTGACGATGAAGCGAACTGGAAGCAAATGGACGTGGTGCATGACGTAGGTACAGAGCGGTGGCGTTTGGGCGTGAGGCGTCGACGTCGAGCCAGTGATGTGATGGGCAAGATGACGATGTCAGGCACCGTCAAGGCACAGCTGGGGAGCCCCAGACTTGAATCGACGGCTTAGCGTGCATGTCCAATGGGTGCACCCGTTTGATCGCCCGGCAGTGGCTTGGCAACGGGCTAATGCTCCTGTCCCTTGCGGGCCGTCAAGAGCCAAAGGTGCGATGATGGATGGATGCGGAGGATGGCTGCGATGTGGCGATGCTTTGTCGTGGTTGACCGGGCGAGGCGACTTGTCGGATGCGGGGTTTCTGGCAGCGAGGGAGTTGGCCTGAGGCCGGACGACAGCGACTCAAAGTATTGATTCCATCGGCATGCAGGTCATTCATTCGCAAAAAAACAAAACACGGACGGCATGAGCGGGTTTCATCGCAATCCCTGTACTACATCAGCCTTAAACCTACCAGTCCGACCCAATATGAGGCCGGCCGGCTGCTCGAGCTGCGTTCTCGAGCCTCTCCGCCATTGCCATTGATTCGTCCTGCCCATGCCCAGGCCATGGCCCTCGCCCTCGAAGCGAAGCCCACTGCTCGCCGCGACATCATCAGCGCCATCCTGAGCCACTACGGCGACGAGCGCGACCTCGACGACCACGACCACGACCACGACCACGACCACGACCACGACCACGACCATGTGCTGGCCGCCTACTGTCAAGCGTCACCGACGCCCACTCCGCTGGATCGCTCCAGCAAACCATTGCCCTCGGTCCCCTCGACGCAGCTGCGAGATAGAGGTAGGGGCATGCACCGCATAGGTACGTACAGCTTTTGTCATTTCACTTTCACTCCTTGCTGAGAGAGATCGCCGCCCCCGGCACGCTGGCATGCCACAACAATCTCTTGCCTTTCTCTCGCTCGCTCACTCACTCGACCTCCCCTCCCCTCCGCTCCGCTCCACACCATGCAAATGAGGATGTCCCCTCTTATATCACGGCACGGCACGCTAAGCGCCAGCACCGTCGAACGCCTGGGTTGCAAGCTGACCATGTGTCTGAGCATGAAAGCACCAGACGACTCGACGCAGGAACCACGGGCGCGCATCATGGCTCCGCGCTCGCTGTCGCGCAGCAAGCGCCCGCCCGAGCTACGCCTCGTCAAGTCCAACGGGTCCACCGCAACTTCCGCCAAGACCCCAAGCCAGTCGTCTTCCCCCCCGGCCGACTCTCCCTCTCGACAACATCCAGAACGTGGCAGACGTCACGCTCGTGGCCGCCTCGACGACGAGCTGCCGCTGCCACCTCCTCCTCCCGAGCTGCCCGACAAGTCCGACAACGACACCATGGGCTCCTCCAAATCAAAGCTGCCGCAGGACGACCGCTCTTCGCCGCGACGCCTTCACTTCTCCCTTAGACGCAAGCCCGTCAAGAAGCCCT